CCCCCCCCCCCCCCTTCTACAAACTGTTTAGTATTCTTGTAGACCCTTTTGGGACCAACATATTCTTTTGTTATAAAATAACTATTACAATAATTATTTTATTTTATACGGTTTCAGTGAAAAAAATTAACACTTATAAAAATTAACACTTATAAAATAATAATATCATTAAAATATATATATCATGATATGTTTTCAGTTGCAAAAAATACTACTTTATATATTCACTATTAAATGATGTTTATTTTTTAACAAACAAATTTAACTTGGTAGCTTATTGCCAACAAAAAGGAATAATAGGATAAAGGAAATAAACATAGAAATGAAGGCTTCAATGATGAGTATGATTGATAAACGAATGATCGCAATGAAGACGGGGAAAGATGATTTGTTGGGCATACTTTTGGATTCGAGTTACGAAGAAATTAAGCAGCATGGAAATAGTAATTTTGGTTTAAGTATCGAGGATTTCATTGAAGAGTGTAAGCATTTCTACCTTGCCGGACAAAAGACGACCAAAGATTTGCTTGTTTGGACTATGGTCTTGTTGGGTCAACACCCAGATTGGCAAGCACGTGCTAGAGACGAAGTATTACTTGTCTTTGGGAAGGAAAAACCAGATATCAATGGATTGAATCGTCTTAAAATTGTAAGCATATCCATACATCGAAGAAGCATCTATTTTATGGTGCTTTATTAATGTTAAGTTTTACGATATTATAATTATTTTGTAAATATTTTGCAGGTTAGCATGATCTTCAACGAGGTTCTTAGGTTATATCCACCAATCAAAACACTAGAACGAATGGTACATGAAGATACTAAATTAGGAAACATAATTTTACCAGCCGGATCTCCCCTCCGTTTACATTTGTTGCTTATGCATCATGACAAGGAGATATGGGGTGATGACGCGAAGGAATTCAAGCCTGAGAGGTTTTTCGAAGGTGTATCAAATGCAACCAAGGGACAGTCATCATACCTTCCCTTCGGTGGGGGCCCACGTATATGTATCGGACAAAACTATGCTTACCTTGAAGCAAAAGTGGCACTTGCTATGATTCTACAAGAATTCTGCTTTGAGATCTCTCCATCATATTCTCATGCTCCACATACCATCATCCCTCTTCAACCTCAGTTTGGGGCTCATTTGATTTTACGTAAACTTTAAGCAACTTATGTTTATGAGAATATGTTTCGATTTTAATTTCTTTGTGTTATACGTAACTATAATATAATAAGTTGTGCCAAAACAAAATAGACATTCTTATGTTCCAAAATTTATATGATAAGTTGGATCTATATTTATTTGTTAGTTTGATTCATAAATTTATACCAACGTCATAACTGGTATTTCATTTTCTTTGAAGTGTTACAACATTAGAATCTAGAATTTCAACTTATAGATACATTTACATTTTTAATGACAACGATCTTAGTATTATGAATTGTGTAATTCAATAACTCGGAATCAATTACGAAACCTAATGTCTTTGTTACATGAAAATAAATCAAAAAATAGTTAGTTTTTACATTTTAATATAAGGCAACATTCAATTTTCAAATCATGTTTCAATCAAATTTCAACTTTTAGTATTATTTCAACAATCATATAAAATAGAGTAAACTAAATACTTGGTCCATGTGGTTTGTGAAAATAAGACTTTTCGTCCTTGCAATTTTTAAATTACAAGATAGTCATCGTGATTTTCAAAAACGTCTGGATTTGATCCTTTTCTGTAACAATCATTTAAAAATTCATTAAATGAGACATTTCCGTTCTATCATCAGATTATAGATTATAAGTTCATAATCCAAGATCATTACCATTTTGGCTGGAACAGATCAATCAAAATCAATTTTATGACTTTGGCCCCTATGGTTTATTTGGTATAATCGGGTTGTGAGTTGGAATATTTAGGGTAGATTTTATAATGTGGTGAAAAGTTGATGGGTTGTTTTAAAAATTTGGTTTAAATATCTTTGATCTCCACCACCTCTTATCTATATCTATATCTATCTATATATACATATATAAGTGTGTGTTTTTTTTCTTTGCCTTTGGGTTAAGTAAGAATACAGAAAAGTTGGTGTGAGTATTTTATTTCTTGGTTCAATGAATGGAAGAAAAAAAAGAAATTGATTACGTAATTTTATCTGATTAATTGTTGTTGTTTAAATTCTTTATCTGCATGTGTTTATGAAGTGAGTTTTATTTGAAATGATTTTATTTTGGAACCATATGATTGCAAATGGGGTGTCTTTGGACATGATTATTTGCTATGTGTTAGCATAAATTTGGGTTTTGACAATATTATTATCAACTGATTGGAATAACGGTGATATAATCAGGAGATATGTTTATTTTGTAATAAGGATGATATAATTAGGAGATATGTTTATTTTGTAATAAGGATGATATAATCAGGAGTTGGATAAATCTATATATATATTAAAGAAGAAACCACTATGTATGATGTGGCCTCTTYTAAAAGCTAGGAGCTTATTTATCTTTTTTCTCCTTTTTTTTGTTTTTTAAAATACTAATTAAGTTAAAGATTATTATGCCCCTACAAGCAAATTGTATATTTCATAATAGATGAGATCATTTGGTAATTTTGCATCCAACTAAGTTTAACCTCCCAAATTATTCAAYTTTTTAWTAAGYATTYAAGATAAGTTTAACCCCCTAGACTATTCAACTTCTTCTTAATAGACATTTATTTTATTTATTATTGCAATTGATTTACCTTCTCCAACTTTTTATCTATTCATCTCTTTATTTCTCAATCTCTTCCTCTTGATATAGTTTGACATAAATTGCTATCAA